ATCAGTGCTTAAGTGCAGTGAAGTGTTCACGGTCAGTGGTGTAGATAAGGCTACTTCGCCAGAATCTATGTGATCAGTGCGCTCCGTGACTAAATTGGTTAGGTCCTACGTTTTAGTGTATATCTTATTTTACATTACATTATAGCACCTAAGACTATCTTTGATTCATCACCTTGTTATCATCCATCATCCTTTTATACAATTTAATTTTGATCACATTATCTATCTTCTTTGTCCTTTCAATCTTTTTCATCTCAATCGTGTTTTATCTATCTCTTTTGAGTGGGCAGGATGTACGGAACCGTACATTATTTTAACTACTCACGCCCGTGCGTTCTGCACACTCAGGTTTTGTGTATATTGCAAACAATGCAAAATGTAATTTGTGTCTTTTATAACGAATTATAAATCAATGTTAATCTAGCATTCAAATCGGGTGGTATTATTTCTATATCCTTATAGGATTAACCCCTCATCATATCGTATCATCAAAGGTGTAGGAATCTTCTACAGGTATGATTAAGAAGATAGCTACCACAATCTTCAAAGTTCTAACTACCTACAAAAGCTAGGCAAACGTACTTGTAACACCTTTGGAGTTTCAGAAGCACTAGTTTGACGACCAATCCCACAAAAAGTTTAATAAAATTATTTCTATACAATTTACGGTTCTTGCAGTTTTAAAGCAATTTCATAACCCATTTACTCAATATATATAGTGATATAGTATGTAATCAGTCAAGTAATCTATAGACATAAAAATAATGGCAAACTGTGTTAGTAAACGCATAACTAAACAATACCTGTATTTATTATTGTTAGGAGATGGTTCTTATCAAAGAAAATATTAGCAAAGTACAGGAAAAAAGGAGGGGAATATTGGGCAAAGTGACTCTTTCGTTGTTAGCGAGATAGTGGTGGTAGCCGAGCGAAGCCGGTGCTGACTACTAGTCTTTAAATAAAATTACATTTCAAAAAACAAAGCGGTCATCGGAAATACCTACCTAATTAAATTATTCTTAGAATCCGACGGAAGTTTTCTAATTAAAATAAACAGTTCGTATAATATACTTCGGTACAACATAACATTACCACCTGTTTTCACCAGTTATGCATATTAGGTTCAATGTTATTGTTGGTCAGTGCCAAGCTGTACCACAGCTGAACTCGATCATTAGAAAAAAAAACTGAATGAAGTGCTGACATTGTTCTTTGGAAAATAATTGGTAGATTATAAGATATAAAACAATTATGTGGATACAAGTAACAGCTCATAAGAAATATCATCATTTTTCAATGTATTGAACACAAGCATCATGCCCCGATTTGGCGTGGCTGCAATCCTGATACTTAATTTCTCGACTATTTAGTGGCTATGCTATTATAATATAATTATATAAACATTTCTCAATAATCACTCTATCTATTAAAAAAACTGCATCAAAATCTGTTGTGTAGTTTTAAAGAGTTAAGTATACAGGGACGGAGAAAGGAACTTTAATTATTTTACAGGTAATATGTAGTGGCTAGACTAATAATAATTAATGTTTGTCTACTTAAAAAAAATCATATACATGGCATAGGTTGTCATGTGCATTTTAGAATTTTTAATCTCAGTAAATGGTGATTACTTCATCATCAGCCTATAAGTGCCCACTGCTGAGCAAAGGCCTCTTCTCATGAGCAGGTTAGAGCATTTATCACCACGCTTGCTCAATATCGGTTGGCGATTTCAAATTTATAATTAGAAATTATAAGTCCAGGTTTCCTCACGATGTTTACCTTCACCGTATGTCAGTGGTGTCTAAATAATCATAGAAACTTGGAAAAAGCCACATTGGTACTTGCCAGATTTCGACTATAATATGTATATATACCGTAGTTAATGCTGTAGGTAACTAAAGAGCAATATAAAACTCTACAAGTATTTGTTAACCTTCATAAATAATTAAGTAACATTTTAAAAGTAGTACAAACCTACTATGCCCTGATAAGCACACCGTATATATGTTTGTGTGTTTATTACATTACAACTATGCATACAGGCCGGGCCTAGTGTTGCAAGCCGTTTTATCTATCTACATAAACATAATAAATCTCCAAAATGTGATACACTAGGTACTAACTTATTATAAAATGACTGCACCTAATTCAATCATTTCAATCTTTAAGTTATTTTATTAGTCAGAACTCCGTTTGTATGATAAAAAAAATCAGTAGTCAAATTCGCCTTAGTCCAAGAGTTTTAAAATTTGGAATCGAGGATCCAGACTCGAGTTGATACTTTTTGTTCTATTTTTTTCGGGTTTATCATTCACAACTTTTGATTTAGAAATAGTTTTGAATAGTTTATCTAGCCTCGTCTAAATCAGAGATTAAAAATAGGTTTTTTTTTTAATACTCTTACCAAAGTTCCCCATAATCTTACGTATGTATGCGGTTTTTTATATTTAAAGACCAAGCCGGGGTTGCGGGGTAAGCGCAATGAGGTACCGCGACCTCGGCACAGAGCAGGAGAAGGCACAGGGGGGTTTTTAGTCAGTAAGAGTCTGACACTCCCTCCTGCCCGGCCCTGGGCGGGAGAAGTAATTTGATGATTTTCCCCTCACAAAAAAAAAAAGACCAAGAACCAAGGCCCTTTATAAAAACGATTAAATTTATTGTAAAATAATAAAAATAAGTTTGCATCGTCATTTAAAATGTTATTTTGACTGAGTCTAGATAGCTCAGTCTATAGTCTGTGCAGAGGGTTCATCATTAATCTGGCTTGTAAGAACAAACAAACGCAATATACATTATTATATTTATGCATATAAAACTTTACTCTTGTTATCTCAGCTATATTTTACTAGCAAGAAAGTTCAGTTCACGATTCATTCAGAAATAGAATCAATCAAATACCTGGTTATAAATAATACGCATATGCATGTGTTTTTATACTACTAGCGTCGTTTGTCTAGTAGTCGCCAGTATGGAAACCCAAGTCGGCGAAAGTATAATTGTATTTAGGAATGGAGATTCGTTTATTATTGATTTACTAGCTTTTTTTGGTTAAAAACTATCCTATATCCTTTCTCGAGTTCCAAACTACATATGTCTGTACCACATTTCACACAAATAGGTTCAGTAGTTTAGGCGTGAAGAAAAGACAGGCGGACAGAGTTACTTTCGAATTCATAATATTAGTTTGGATAGTGGTCATAATAAACTTGTATTTTTGTCATATATTATCTAAATATTTCAGTTTCATTAGATTTTGTCGCTGTTCGTGTTGTGAACGAAGGCACTTAGTGGTGGACTCCACATTAATGTTAGCTAAACAGCTTAGAAATATTTATTTGTTTTAGCTACTTCAAACTAAAAGGTGTGGTAGACATAGAATTAGATGAAGGTTTTTTAACCTTTCATTGACTTCAAGGTGCAAGAATGCCTGAAAGTTACTTTACTTTGAAAGACGACTGTCAGAGTGCTTGTTGACGTCGGGTATGAAAGATCATAATAGTGATGATTTAAGATGTAATGTACATATTATAATATTGATAATTAGATATTATCTAAGACAGCTTTTTTGTGGTTCTAGATACAGATCTAACAGTTTTAGAGTTGATTTAAAGCGAACGCTTTTTGTGATTCTAGACATATCCTAACAATAATAACTATCGTGAGACATACTAAATTAACTAAAATTCGCGGATTCCTCATGCCGGATGATTCCTCATGAGCAGCGTGCGCGGACGCTGCTCATGAGGAAGAACCCCTCTGTGGTTCGAAACTAGTAGAGCTTTTCTCAACATTCACACGTGAGTAACCCGCGAATTTTAGTTAATATCCTAACAATCACAAAATGTGCACAAAATCATAAAATGAATGTCAAAACATTACGGAATATCACACACTTTTGAACCATAAGCATAATTATTATTATGCAATTCCAAGATTACAATCTTTCTACTTTTGCGTCACTTGAAATATGAAATAATAAATTTTCCTAATTCATTGATTTTGTATTAGGAAAATTCTTACGATTTCGTATGAGTCATTGTTTCTATTTTCTAAATTATAGTATACAATGATGACGTGCTCCAAAATGTTTATTTAATTAATTACAAACAAAAGCAAAGATTCTAGACAGATCATTCCGATGGAGAGTCCATAATAAGTCTGTTAATGTTAATGAACCGGAATTGATATAAACACAGTCGAAATCTTGAAGAACACTGAGCGTATATAAAATAAAAACATGGTCTGTATTTATAAATTATTGTTTAACTAATAGTTTGCAAATTAAAATTCTCAAATACACTATTGATGCTAATACTTTTACCAATTCAGGCTTGGTCAAGAGCATCGAATATTTGTAATTTTAAGGCTCTTGTCCCGAAGAAATTAATGGAATCATGTTTTGCCAACGTGCAGTATTGAAAAACATACGAAAATAAGGATTACTAACAGTAGGCACTAAATAATTAAAAGTTTGTTAACATTTTTGTGATGATACACCACACCTAAACATTAAAACTATCCTAAATTACAATAAAGCAAAGTATTGAAAACATTCGCTCATAAATAAACAATAAAACGTTAGGTTTTATGTGTGTATGTACACAGATGAAGATGCTTTTAAAAGGACCAATAAAAGAAAAGTTTGTGACTAATAAAAATGTGTTGAACCCGAGATCAGTGCACAATATGAAACCACGTGACAATTGTAATTTGTCAAACAACACCGCTCCACTTTATCAGCACGAAACTGTAACATCTAGCTGTTATTCTCAGGCGACGCGTGTTTATCTAAAAAGTGTTGCAATGCTTATACAAAATGCCGTTTTGGTTAATTACACATTCAGTCCGGACGACGTGCATCGAATATACTTGGGTACTAAAATAAAATGAATGTTGCTCGAACGCGGATAGTGCGACGCATATTTTGGTGCAGTTTGGGTCGAATGTCTTGATATAAATGGGTGTATTTTTGTTAAAAATGCAGTTGATTGACTGACCTGTAGCGTTGTGACGTGACGGAGCGCGTGCGCAGCTGGGCGGGCGGCCGAAGACTGGGCGGGCGGCGTCTGCTGTCTCGCTGCCCCGGCGTCGACCGATTCACACCGCGCGGCCCGGTGACGACACAATACCGACACTTTCGTATTTCTCTGCATAACCTACATTCATATTTTGATTCCTACAACTTGTAAATTCAATTTTAATTTATGACATGTTGCTACCAAATGGACAGCGCACTGGCCTTATTATTTATTGATTAATTATTTTTCTCGTTTACATGAAATAATCTTAAATTCAATATCTCTGTGTGAACACTGACTTTCATGTTCTATTGATGTAGGTATTTCATGAAATGGCATCAAAAGATTAAGGAAATGTTTTGAATGACATATATGAGAACGTATAGAGAAAGTACAGTAAACTTATAGATCTAGATTTAGACTTGATTGATAGTAATTAAAAACTATATTCAGACCTACCCAAAATTCCGCTTTCCAACTTAAATGCGTATCTCCATATCATATCCCCTGGATCTCATTGGGGTGAGCTACCCCAATACCCCTATCCGTATCTAGGCAGTGTAACATGTAATACACATAATAGAGAAAGGTACATAAAACGGACTTAATGCCATATGGCATTCCTTGCCAGACTAAGGGTTAGCGAAACTAGGTTTGTGTATAGATATTGTAAATTAGATTGGTGCACTTTACTATGAGATAGACCAAACGAGTCGAAGGGCTGTCTGATGGTAAGCTATTGGCGCCACCCATAGACAACTTCAGCCGGGGTAAGCGCAATGAGGAACCGTAACCTCGGCCCAGAGCAATAGAAGATACGGGGGGTTTTTAGTCAGTAAGAGTTTGATACTAGGCGGGAGAAGTCATTTGATGATTTCGCTCTAAAAAACACATAGACAACTGCAACACAGAGAGGAATAACGAGTACACGATGAGTTACGAGTGCGTTGTTGGCCTTTCAGAGGTCGTTAGGGATTTGAGGATTAGAGATTTAAAGATGAAGGCAGCTGACGAAATTCCCACTCATATACCAAACTACGAGTACTTAGGTTTAACGCAAGGGTTATTACAGGTCGGTTTTTTTTCTATTCTTTTCAATTCTAGGTCTTTCTTCTACTTAACTAGAAAAGTTCCCGATAATGTTAAATGCATATTATAGTTTGACCAGCCAGTTTAGGAAAAAATACACCTGCAATAAGCAATCAAGTAAGTTCGTACAAAAGTAGCACTGTTCGAATAAGTATGCAACCCATACTTACAAATAAATCAATCAAACAAAAAAATATAAAAATAAATATTTTCATTTTATAAAAGTTTAAAACCATAAACTAAATCCCTAATCCCTAAAAGGTCAGCAACGCACTCGTAACTACTCCGTTGCGAGTGTCCATGGGCGGCGCTACCATCAGGTAATCCGTCTGCTCGTTTGCCGACCTATAACATAAAAAAAAACTGAATAATTTTTACTCTACTGCCGGGGACACTATGTTCTCGCAATTTAGAAAACTAAAACAACAAAATTTTGTAATGGTTATGTATGTAAACGCCATCTATTGGCAATACCGAGAACTAAACTCATAAGCTCAACGAAAGGTGGTTGTAGGTGTTTTAATATTGTTGTAGGACTGCTAAATATCGTTCTATTGTGTTCTATATGAAGGGAAGAAAGGTGTTGTCTTCCCTACATTTCCATGTTAAACAGTTTATTATTAACTTCGTATCTACATTAATAAATATGCTACAAGATTTTTATGCATTTTATGATATTTAAAAGCATAAAGATGCAATTTAAAATGTCTTTTCGCAATCATACACTTTGTAGATTAATATTATCGAAAGTTGCCTCATTATTGTTTTAATTAAGTCAGCGTGCTGATCGTTTTGATGAAATGAATAGAGAAACAGCTCCATTCTTTGTGTTCATAAATGAATAAAAGAACAATTCGTCTACTTGTCAAACTTACGAAATGATTGTTATATGTATAACATTGGAAGGCCAATAGTTGTATTTTTTACCAAAACCTACAGTGTTCTTAAGTAGTACATATGTAAGATAATAAATAGGCTTCAATGGGTGCCCACAGAGACGCTTTTGAGGAGATATCTTTTATGCTATGATCTCCCCAAAAGCGTGCTACAAAACTTATATCTTATATAAGTGTGGGAGAGTCATGTTTCGGCACGAATGGGCCGGCTCGACCGGAGTGTTACCATGGCCTTACCTAAAACCAGCGTGAAACAACCACACCGTTGTCTTTCGCCGTGTGAGTGGGGTTACCGAAGCCGGAGGCCCAATACTTCCCCTACCCCAATCCCTAAATCTCCAAATTCCTTATCCACAAAGGGTTTTGCGGGTATCCATGGGTGGAGCTGATTGCTTACCATCAGGCATCCGTGTGCTGCGTTAGTCACATAAAAAAATCAAGGTCATTTGGTTTTGTAAGTAATTAGATAGATTAGACAGCTAATGTAAATACAACATGTCTTGTCTGTTCTAATCATTTTCATAGCAATATTATGTCGTACGGCATTTTGCTATGAGGTTAAGCTGCGGAAGTCAAATCAATTTTATTTCAACTAAAGCGGGCTATACGAACGATATGTAGCTTGCCGATTCGCAAATCTCTAAGAACACTATTTTGAATGATTAATATTCTAACGGTGCCTTTTCAGTTTATATAATAATATGAAAATATTACGTATGTAAGGCAACAATTAAATTTATGAAAAAACGAAGCGGTCGACATGTTTTTATAATTTAACACTAGTGGCAAAAAAGGCTGACTATACCACGATTCTGAGTGTGGGTGAATTGTTACAATTAAATATCAAATAGACATCTAGAGTATGAAATCTTAATAAATAAAATTTAAAACACTTATACCTACTCAGAGCGAATTGCCTAAACTGGTGACTACACATTATAGTCAAACTAGCTACTCTCGCGTGGTTTCATCCGCTGCTCGGCTCCAATTGATCGAAGCGTGATGTTTTATAGTCTATAGCACTCAGGAACATTGTAGCTATCTACCAGTGAAAGAATTTTGGCAATCCGACCAGCAGTTCCAAAGATTACCCCCTACATACAAACTTACAAATTTTACTTCTTTATAATATGTATATAGTAAGTATAGATGTAGATTACTTTGGTATATACTCAAAAGCAGGTTGTACTTACTCAGATTATAAAAAATATGTATGTTTATATTGTGGCATCATTTTTTTTCCTTTTACTGACAATGAGAGATACCTAAATTAAAAGACAATATTTTGGATTGACAGTACTTACGTGAGGGCCGTTTTTGAGGCGGTTAAGGATAAAAAAATATCATGAAAATATTCGATCGATGGTTTGAATATTTTTGTTCAACAATTTTTCTCTGCTTTGTTCTCACATAATTCATCATCATTATCATGATTGCCTCCATTGCTGGACATAGGCCTTCCCAATTGCACGGCACTAAGCTCGATGTCAGGTCTCCTCACATTATTATGTGTTCATTAATGTATTTTAGATAATTCTTTATTTTTAATTCTTTATAACTATTTATTTTCCAATTCTACACTTAGGAACCTTTCTCTCTCGGCTGTAGTGGCTGTCATTTTTTTTTTGTTTTTTACTTTTCCAATATTCATGTTAAAGTTATAATGAATGTATTTATTTGCCCAAATCAAATCAATCAAATCAAAATCATTTATTCCAAATAAACCATAAATAGGTACTTTTGAAACGTCAAAATAGAATAGTAGTCTGTCAGTCTGTTCGTCAGTGAAGCTAGGTGCTCGTTCCAAATTGTAGTTTCGAATGGAGAAGAACGAGCAAGAAACTCCATCGTTACTCTTTTAAAAAAAATATTTGTTTTACAATTCATCAATAATACATTTTTTATACATTACTGTACCCCTATGTGAGAACAATGCAGAGACAAGTTGTTAATAAAAAGGAACAAATGATGGTCTATTTAATCTATAATTAAAATTTTAATCCTTTGTTGTTTCGTACATGGCGCTCACATATGCGTACTCACAATCCAAAAGAATGCTTCTATATAAACTCATTCAAGGTTTCATTAATTTTGAGAATTTTGATAACTACCTACTGACTACATATTTGAGAATTGTCCAGTGGAGCCGAACCAACATGCTGCCAGGCATTCTTATCCTCAATATAATCTGAAAGTTTGTAGTATGCCTGTCTACATAATTCGCGTTTAATATAAGTTTTAAATTTTCGTTCATTAAGATTTAATACACTTCTTGGAATTTTATTGTAACAATTTACACAGAACCCCATAAAGGATTTCTGTACTTTGGACAGACGGAATCGTGGCACAGCCAGCCTATCTTTGCCTCTAGTATTAAAATTGTGTCTATCGCTTCTTTTTTCAAATAATTGCAAATTTTTCCTTACGTACATAATATTTTCATATATAAACTGACAAGGTACCGTTAGGATATTTATCGTTTTAAATAGTTCTCTCAGAGATTCACGAGGGGACAAGTTATATATCGCTCGGATAGCCCGCTTTTGCAAAATAAATATTGAATCTACTTCCGCAGCTCGACCCCATAGCAAAATTCCGTACGACATAATGCTGTGAAAATAGCTAAAATAAACAAGCCTTGCTGTGTTCACGTCTGTGAGCTGTCTAATCTGTCTAACTGCAAAAACAGCTGAGCTCAGTCTTCCCGAAAGCGTCTTTATGTGGGAACCCCATTGAAGTTTATTGTCTAGCGTAATACCTAGGAACATAGTCTCGTTAACAAATTCTAACTTTTGCCCATTTAAAATTATGTCACAATCATTATTGTGTACGTTGGGCAAGCTAAATTTAATACATTTTGTTTTTTTCTCGTTAAGTGCTAAATTATTGACTGTAAACCAATTATGAACTCGATGAATGGAGCTGTTTACTTCGTCCAAATTATTAACACGTCGACCTATTCTAAAAATTAATGATGTATCATCTGCAAACAGCACCATTCTTGGCTCGGTTTTAAATAGAAATGGCAAGTCATTAACA